TCATAGAAAGCTCACGGCTCTCCAACGGGAGATTGAGAGACCAGTGTTGGACTGTTAGAACAGCTTTGAAATTCATATGAGTTGTTCGCACTAAAGTAAAAAGCACCATCACTTCATGCGGAGACCCCTTCGGCACCAGCTGCGGCGGCCTCAAGGCTGGAGCTGAACAAAACACCCTGATAACGACTGTGTTTAGACTGTTCCCCCCATTCCATGCAAGGCCACCTGGGTTGGCTGGAAGACTGTTTACTTAGCCTGGCGGGGCGAAGGACACTGTCTCAGCTGAACTCTGGACACACACACACACACACACACATACACTGATATGCACACACTGATCTCCCCTCCCTTTCCAAACGCCTTCGACGCTTGTGCCCTACCGGGGAAGATGGCAGTCGACTGGACCAGCGCAGACATGCTGCAGAACCGGATGCGCTGTCAACAGCGGCTCTCTCTTACCCTTTACCCTTTACAGCTTATAATATCATAATACTGCTCCAATCATACATTTAAGATAATAAAAAACATCAGTGTATAATGTAAGGCTTCAAGGTCAAAGGTCAAAGATCAGGGTCACACAAATTCGAAAAATTAGTTTCCATTGGATCATCTCTAAACGTTATAGCAATATATTAGTTATTGGGGGACATTTTTATTGTTTGAGCTACAGATACATCAAGATGTAATTTAACAATGACACAAAAAGAACAATATACCACACTAGATTTCCTTATAAACAATGCTAACATCAGCATAAATGATCTATGATAACAATGCAGACGTCACTATTGGGGAGTTCCAAAAAACAGGCTGACGTCAGCACGTTGTAATAAAAAGGTCATAAAACATCAAAATTTCAATTTAGTCCTCGCCCTTCAGGGGGAGTTGCGCTCTCTGAATGCTCTTGTTATTCTCTGTTTTTAAGGATGTTATTATTTTACAACACATACAGCGCTAAAACAAGTCTTACTCACACCCTGGGCAGACTGTATTCTTTGATTGTAACTGTACTGATAAATAGATTTTTGACGATGAATGTGATGTCCCTTTCTGAGATCAGAGGGGCATCGGGTCTGTGTTCCTGGACTCATTAAAATATTTATAAAGGCATTAGAAAAGTCTGGAGAAAAGAAAACAAAATAACAGCACCGGTAGAAAAAAAGGAGATAGCCTACATAAACACTTTCAGAGATGGACTAAATCATACCCTGTTTTGCTCTGTTCAGAGTTACATTTCACTTGTCAAACTCCATTTTTCCTAATCCATTATCGCCGTGCCTTTAAGCTTTTTAATGTGTAATTCTGCAGCAGTCGTTTCTTCACTGGGAAAAGTAGATGTCAAGATGAAACTCTCAGAATACATAATGACTTCATTAGTGGTCCTTCTCCGTGATTAATTGGAGCGCTGTGTCACACAGTGTGACAGAGCTGCTCATTGTCAGATAGTGTTGTGACAGAACATGAGGACCATGTAGACAAGCATAGAGATGATCACGCCTAGCCGTGTACACGTGTAGGACACACACACACACACACACACACACTAAGAAGTACACCCTGCTTCTAAAAGTTCCGCTATTATTTAGAAGAGATAAAACTTGGTTTAAATAGTGAACTTTGCAAAAAGAAAAGACAGTCTGCCTGTGATTGGCCGATTACAATAGTTTAGCTTCGATTAGAAGCAGCAGTCTCTGCTTTACCGCAGTTCTTTTCTTCTTCTATCAACATGTTAGCACAAGCCTAGCCTTGTTAGCTTCCCAAAGATGTTGGCATCTGTTTGTCTAAACAGAAGGGGAAGAGACATCTGAGGACTCTCAGAGCCTCCCAGCTCGAGGGACCAGACATAAGGAAATTTGCAGTGTTTGATGGCTGCTCTGAGCTCAACATCTTAGAGCATTCAACTGCGAAAACAAGTTGAATCCAGAGTATACACAAACGAAAGAAGAAAGAGAGAGTTGTAGCCAGAAATGATGGAGAAGTCGAGTGTGGGAGACGCAGGAGAGAGGGCAGAGATGGAGTGACTTTAGGGTCACAGCATCAAAAACAGAATAGGCTGAAGATCTGTGTGCTGGTTTTCAACTGGTAAGTGCTGCACCCCTAGGAAATCCAGTCTGGCCTTTGATGAGTTCACCTGCTAATGTTGCCCCTTGATGACATGTGAACAAAGACACTGGAGAGAAATTTGAGCGGGGTCCTTGAGCAGTGCATGGGTTGTCAGATAGAGAGAACCCTGCAGTAAGCTCACATGGCAGACTGTCATTTAATCAATTTTATCAATACAGCTATTGAATTGGGCCAGCTCCCGTGTCAGTAGCAATGTACCAAAAGAGTAAAAGAGACCTCTTAACCGAAGCGGACTGGTGTTTGAAACTAGGATTCAAACGGCAGCTTCACTGTATTAAAGTACATCTGTCTTTGATGAAAACCTTTGGAAAAGATTTGATACAGGCTACAGGCACAGGTCTCTAACCTGCCTCTGGATGGTTCAAATGGTTTGATGTCTCTGTGGTGTCCTATTTAGTGTCTATTACCTTCTACTGTCACTATATTTCAGGAGGGTTTGGAGATAAATCCTTCATTTATCCCACAATCAGTATCGGCCTAAAAATCATGTAAGGAGAAATTTGATGCAGAAAGTGTGAGGAGAGAGTCCAATAAAATCCAGCTAAGCTACACTGCTATATTAAGTGTCTATGAAGCATTTCTGGTGATGTGACTGTGGCTTAACTGCATCTCAGACTTAATCGCTATCTGATCTGTCAGTCTGAGCTAGTTTTTTTTCCACTATATGGATTCGAATGCCCTTGCCCTATCTTAAAAGCTTACACTGGAGTCTCCTAGGGAAAAACATCACCATGTATATAATGCACGGATGCAGAAAAACAGACTCCTTTCCCTCCTGCCTTTGATAGTTATACCTTCCATATGGTTGAGTTGTGGTTTGTATCCACCCTCACAGAGGATGATTTTATGTTTTCTGTCCCCGGCAAGTCAGGTCCACTGTGGCCTTCTCCACTCATCACAGTTTGCTCAAATCTCTGTGAAGTGGAAAAGGACACTGGCCTCTCTTTGCTGGCAGTAACACCATTCAGGAGCACCACTTTATTTGTGGGGCACAACTACATGCAGCTGTCAAACTGAACAAAAGTGTCAAATGTGTTTACAGATTTGATGAAATGAAACTTTTTGGTCACGCTAGCAGCATGTCGATTGGTCAGTCTGTGTGCTGTTCAGTCTAGTAGTTTGGTGCAGACTAATACCTGACCACAACCGTGAGGTAGGTTTAATTTTTGTGCTTCCCATTTAATAGATGTCATTACAGTACATTGGATGATCAGCTAATGGCATCACTAGCTTAAATTTTAAATTTGTCTAATACGTTTTATAAACCAAATTGCCATGACCCTTATGTTAAGTGCTTTTGCTTGCAACGTTAGCTGGCTGACATGCTAAATGGGCTGCTGAACACCATGATTTATACCCGCCATTTCAGCATCATCATTATGAGCAAGTTAGCATGGTGACATTAGCATTGTGAAAGCACCACTGTGCGAAAGTGCAGCCTCACTGAGCTGCAAACATGGCTGCAGACTCGCAGTTATTGGCTTAGCAAAGCTCTGCATTGTACACCGAGACTGGATGAAAACTGGCAGGACACACGGGAACAAAGATGAAATTCTGTAGCGGGGTCGAAACGACATTTTACACATAAATCCGTCACGTTGCATTTGGAATGAAAATGCTCGATTTGGAGGGAGGTTGCAAGTTTACATCCCTAACATCTCTCACAGACTCACGCGGACCACTATCAGCTGATTCGTGAGACACTCTGCAAACTTTTTTCGTTTAAGTTGTCTCTGACCACCAACCCGTAACAAAAAGAGGTGATAAAATACACGGCAGGGTTTCGGCACAGAGGAGGTCCGACAAGCATAAAAGGCCACCTTTCGAAGACAATAAGTGGCCTATGAGTTGTTGTTTTTTTATATCCTAAAGCGCTCTGAGGATAAACAACATGTTTTGAATATTTCATATGCTAATTAGGGAAAATGTCCAACTGGGGGTGAGTGTTTCCTTTATGAAAAATAATCATGTTTGTTACACTATTCTGTAATGCCTAAAAATCCTAGTTTAAGATATTTCAGTCTCAAAGTGATAAACGATGAAAAATAAATACATTTTGTGACATGTGTATGTAACATATACAGTACATTTCAACACAATGTCTTATGACTGCAGCAAATTTGATTACTGTATTGCCTGCAGACTTTTCACACTGCAGCATTATTAAACTCCCTCAAGCACATTCGACCATGGCAATAGCCGCTAGCTGATGTACCTGGCTATAACACAGACACCCCCCCTTCCCACTCTGCATCAGCTCTCTGCTCACTGGCATGGAATCAATGCAGAATTGCAGATGTGAGCAAAAGCTGCAGAGGACACACAGACACACACACAAAACGCCTCTGTACGTGCGAGCACAGCATTACTGCAATATCATAGCAACACAGGAGTCCCGCCAAGACAGGGTTCGCAACCTCCTGACAGAATATATATAGGTTATGTTTCTGAAGAAAGACACAGAGACTGAGAAGGTTAGAGGCTAAAGAATTGAGAACGATTATGCATGACTCGTTTTAAATGGCTTGTTACAGCGCGATCATTCAGTGAGGAAGACGCAGATGTATTTAAGCAAAATTTAACTCAATAGCTTTTGCCTGTGGCTCATTGATAAAGGATTTAGAGATTCATTTTTGTAAGACTAGGATTTATACGCTTTTGTTGGGTCAAACTCAAAGGGAAGGAGTTAGAAATCTTCTTTTTTTCCACAAGATTCATGCTCTGTCTAATAGGCCTTTTAGTTTGAATTACTTTTATCTTTTTGTACTATATCAACAGTCGCACAGTGTGATATTAACTTGGGAGCCGTATATACATATACAGCTTTGGCACATTAAGTCAGAGAAAATTGAATGCAGGGTAGAAGGTGTACTTACGATCTCTGAATGCTTACTGATGGGTAGGAGTTTCTTTTTTTAAGCAGGGATCTGCCACAAACACACACACGCACACACGGGTGCTGGGGCTGTTTTGTGTGTGTACTGTACCTGTTGAGAGACACAAAAGCAAAGAAAGCCTTAATGCTTGTCATATTGTGCAGACGCTTAAATAAGCAGAGTTTGAGACAAGCTCTAACATAAAAAAACAAAAAGTATTACATGGTAAGTAATACAATCAAACATGTTTACGTATGTGGGTGAGTAAAATACCACACATTTTCTTGCTTACATAATGTCTACACTGGTTTTTAAGAGGCATAATTGCAGATTTCTGCATGTCCCTGCAGCAATAATGCACGGCAGGCTCATGCAGCCAGTAAATGACAGTGGAAAGAACACATTTATGGAAGTCGGTTAACGGCAGAAGCATAATGATATACCTCAGAGCAGGAAAGTGTGCTGGATTTTTTATAAGGCAGTGATAATGGCTGGTGTGATGTTCTGGTTCTTCAGATTTTAAATGAAAATGAAAATAGACTTGGTGCCATATGGAATGAAAGCTATGGTCTGCACAGGCTAGACTAGGCTAGTCTTTAGACCATCTACTTCTGGTGGACTATCTGTCAAACTGAAAGCAAAAACAGATGAATGATAAAAATTTATGAGCATACAGCCTTCAGCATGTGTAGCAGTCATTCAGGACTTCACATACAGCCCTGAGCCTGTGCTCTACTTGACCCCATGATTTTTACACTATAGGCACAGTTTAGGGACAGGACATCAATGAAATACCACTATTTGTTTCTACCTGTGGTAGTTCTAATTACAAACTCACTAATTTTATCCAGTTTAACACTGAGTAGAAGTTATGCACATATGTCTATAGTACCATGCAAAAATCTTGAGGCCAAGGAGCCAGACTTTCTTTTTCTTTTTTTGGTGCAATATGAACATAAATATAATTTTCTTTCAGAAATAGTCACAGAGGAGCCTTAAAAACAGATGTCACAGGCAATATTATTGAAAAATGTCTTTCATGAGCTTGATTTGATAATAAAAAAGGGTTGTCATATTATTAGTTAATTCACATTTTTTCACTGTGATCATTGATCATTTTCCGCTGTTTTCATTAACACCTTTCAGCAAGGTTAGGTGGGTTGGTGGTTTCTCTTGTTTCCAGATCAACAACACAAGTCTTTGTGCTAGTAATAACACAGACCAATGTGTACAGATTAGTTCCAGGGGGACTTCTTTCACTCCAAATAGTGCCAGAACTGAATTCAGAGTTTCTTTAGAACAGTTTCATTTTTAGAGTATTGCACTCTTGCGTGTCTTCTTTGATTTAGGAATATGTTGAACAGTATAAGGGCCCTCTTCCTATTTCCTTTCAGGCTGTGGCTGCTGTTGATCCTTAACAGGTTGAAGCATTATGTTTCCTAATGCCTCAGGTGATAGCTGGACTCCGACTGAAACATAATGCTCTAGCACTGGTGCTAAATCCCGCTGACAAATTGATTTAGACTAATGGATGACTGGCATTATAACACATCCAGGTATTTTAAGCATTCGCCTTATGTTTTTAGTTTACTGATTTCCCTGTATTTGCTCGCCCACACTCTGCACTAATTTCATGATTCAGAAAGCCCTCTTTAGATTAGATTGGTTTATAAGTTTCAGAACATGCCATTAAACTGACATCATAATCACTCAAACACGCTCTGATTCAATATTTCATCACGCTTTTCTAAAGACACGGACTGAGACGCTTTTCTCTTGTTGAGCACAGCGTTCTGGTTTTTAATGGACTCGAGAACATCTGCATGTATTTCATAATTCACTTCATAAATTATATGTTTCAAAGACAAGCTGCATGTCGCTTTGATTGCAGGATGCAAAGAAGAAATGAAGACTCGCCGGAGCCGTAGAGACTGCTACAAACTCTCTCGCAATACTTCTTACAACCGACCGAGGAGGATTCTTTACATGCCCAGTGCAGAATGCAAAAATAAGAATCAGATCTGACATAAAAGTAGGAAGATTTTAATTAGCACCAGCAAGCCCCAACTGATGGTTCGTGTGTTAGTAAGGGTAAACGTTTCACAAGGCTGGCTCCAACCGTGGCACTATATTAGAGCTTCAAACCTCCACGGATGCTAAAGTAGTTGTGATTTTCTTAATACTGGAGACCAGAGGGGTCTTTTTGATTAAAAAAAATCATCATATTAAGTGTTTTCACTATAATAGATTAAGTAATCTACAGATACTGATTATGGTGGAGTGGAGCAAACAGAGTGAGGCTTAGGGATATGCAAATCCAGTTACAGCTGCCATTATCACCTTTTAGGTGAATGTGATAAACAGTAGCTTATTTTCACATTCAGCAGATACTGTACTTCTGGGCACAATAATAGATTTAATTCTAATACTAATACTCTTTTTGCTCCGGCTTTGGAGTCTATCCAGTCTCAGGGGAAATCTCCTGCACTTTGGCTGCTACATGGCCCAGAGTGTTCACCAGTGTTCGCCTCTCACACAGTCACACTGCTATGTCGAAGATTTTGATTATTGCCTTTTAACGGCTTTAATTTAGTTTGATTTTTTTCACTACATACCGAGCCTTGAATCAGGATCACCGTTTAAAAAAAATGGGATGCACATTTTTAAAGGTCTTTGTTTTAGTTCATCATTCTTCATTATGAAATCATAGTTATGAGTTTGCCTCCTCCCTCACACTAATGTGTCACGTCTTGGCATCGGCATCACGGATGGTGTTGAGCTGTGAAAAGACATGGATTTGAATTTGCCAGAGGAAACAGTGGCACAAATGTCCATTATGAAAGAACTGGCTGTTCCATTAATTATGGTTTTAAACCCATAACCACAAAAATCAATTTGTTTCTTCATTTGGTTTCATATTTAATGCAGATTGAAGATTACACTGCATAGATGGTCTTGTCAGCATTGCCGTATGTATTTGTCTGCTTACTCCACATGCTCAAAGATTTAAAGACTTTTTGCTGTTAGGCCTCAGCATGGTGAAGTAAATGACCTCTACAGAGGGTCCACTTTAATTGAGTGATTTGATGTAACTGTTTTCATACTCCCCACTGTCTCCAAAGCCACCGATATTTCTGCTTCGTTATTCCACTGCCTGACTTGGATTGTGTGTGGATTTTGCCTTCGAAGCTGACATTTGGTTAAATCAAGTGAAATGTAATTTATTTCAGGTTCAGTCAGCTGATTGTTGAACGCACTGCCAGGTGAGTTGGTGTTTTGCTTTGATGAATGCTGAAGGAGCGGTCAGACATTTTCACCACCTGCTATTCATGGATTAGTCAATACCATAATGTTTAGAAAGACCTTCCTGCTCCTTCATTTAATCCTCCCATCACCATAATTACTCCCACTGCTTTTCTCCTCCCTCGTCTCCTCCTCATTTTAACCTTCTCTCCTTCCGTCGTACATCCATCATCTGATTCGTATATTCCATAAACAGAGCCCAGCCCTTTTTTCAGCGCACATCTTCTTCCTCTCTGCTCCCCTCTTCTCCCAGGGCACACACTATAACGCTTCTTATTTGTCATGTACAAACAGTGTCTTTCTATACCTTCTTTTCTTATCCTCCTCCTTCACAACTCCCCGCTGGGGTTATTTCTGCAGCCAGGGCAAACTCATCCTTGACTCAGTACTCTTTTCAAAGCTTGACCACATCATCCTGACCTGATATAAGGCTAAAAAAATACTATTGCTGTCTATTTTAGGCTTAGGTTCGTTAAGGTTTGATTAGTTGGTAAAGATGTGGAAAAAATAAATAAACTCTGTGCAGTTATCATTGAAAATTTGAGATGCTTTCACATTTTAATTAATGGGTAACATATTGTACACAGCATCCTTTTATAAACAATACACCCACTAGGATGGTTCCTGCTGTGTTACTATGGTAACATCACGAGCTATCTCATGGCAGGTACAATTAGTCATCATCAGCAATTAGAGCTGATTAGTCCATGGGTCTAAATGTTCATTTTTCACTGAAAAAAAGGAAAAATAAAGACAAACATCACTGATCTGAATGAGCGAACAATCAAAGTTTTCTGGTCCTGAGTGATGCTGGCCACATATGCTCATGAGAGCATCCTAAACCAGCAACTATTTGGCTTTTTTTATTTTAGTTTTATGAATTCTGGTTTGTGGCTCAACACTTGTAGCCATAACTTTAAAAATAACTCAGCCAAGAACTGCTGTTCATTCACTGCTTCTCAGTTCGATCTGAATGAAGCGAACGCGTGTGTAATTTGCTGCAATGCACTTTAAATACGCAAAACTTCTGCCAACACAAAAGAACGAGCACACAAATCGATCGATGATCAGAAATGCAATCTCCTTCGACGATTTCTCCACACAATTAGCCTTGAGAAAAAAAAGAGAATCTCCTTTATTTCTAGTAATTGCCAAATACTGTACTTAAAAGAACTTCTGTGGACCGTGCTTTCCTTCAGAAGTTAGTGCATTACTTATTCCTCCTCCTCTGCATCCCTCAGTGCTCTTTCTTCAATTGCCATTCGCTGCATCCACTCACTAATGGAATCTTTAAAAGGACCATTAAAGAAGAAAATTATAGTTAAACAATTCAGATACTGTATATTTAACAAACCTCTTAGGCATTTCGTTTTCTGCATTAGCAGCGATGGCTCAGTGGGAAAGGCTGAGGTAAGGTGTCAGCTAAAAGCCCATAATGAAGCGGACTGTTTGTCAGGCAGGAAGATAAGACCTGTAATTGCTCAAGGTCCTGTAATGTCAATATGCATCCTAATACCTTCAAAGGCCCTCTCCTTATAAGAGGAAGTGCTTTGGGGTTTTTTCCCTTTTTTTTTTTTGTGAGATAACACATGGCTGTGGCCAATGTAGCCACTGGATGTATGCGGGTAGGAATTTTTGGAATATCCATAATAAACCTGCTGAAGTGTCAAGACTTGCTGATATCGCAGTGGTTCAGCTGTTTTTCAAGCATAAATGGTTTCAATTTAATGCAAGGCTGCGAGTTTGTGCTGTGTGTGTGTGTGCGACCGTGTAGATCAGCGCACGCATTTGGTCAGTATGTGTGCTCACGGACATACAGTACTTACTGATTTGTGTGTCTTTGTGCAAGAACATCTGCTCTGCTGGTAGATGTTCTTGCTAGCTCCTAACCAGTTAAGCTTGTAATGGAAAACTGTGGGTTGCCCTTTACTCACTGTGTCCTCTGCCGTTGCACGCTTTATTTAAAAAAAAAAGAAAAAAGAAAAAGAAAGAATACTTGCTAATTAAGATGCTTAGTCCAGGGGTTGTTCTCTTTGGCCAACTTCTTTGCACTGTGGGAGTGGGAAGCGCTGGCAGGTCTGCAAACACAACAAGTGTTCATTGTAATTACAGCCTGTGAGAGTGAACTGTGTTTGTGCATATGCATGCAGTTAAGGCAGCCAGTGTAAACAGTGTACCTACGAAAAATAATAGAATAAAAATCAGCTCGTATCACTTAAAGTGATGTGACAATGTAGCATATATACAAATTTTAGGTCGCAACGAGCAAAACAATGTCTAGATTCCCCTTTTAATCTGGTCGTTTGTGCTCCTGCTTATGTATTGCCAGCTCCAGCCTTTCAGACATTTATTTTCTTCTTGTTTCTGCCTGCAAAGCTTTTATGTGTCTCCGAGACGTGGATTTGAATTCTTACTGTGTTACTGAGCTGTGACACTGGCTTATAACCCAAGCCGTGTTGCAATTTCAGACGTATCACGTTGCTATAGTGATATTTGTCAGGAGAATGCTGCTGAACTGAGTTTAAAATTGAAAGAAATGTAAAGCCTGTAGGCAAAGGATAAGATTTTTGTTTCACTGACCACTCACTATGAAGCCAGGAGTGATCTGTAAGGCTAGAGAAGCAGCATCAAGACACTACTGCCTGCCTTTCTAATTATATTTGAGGAGGCTTTGGTTGCATGCATGCAAACAGTTCTTTTAAATAAGAAAAAAAGGACTGCATTTTCCTCATGCATTCTTTTTTTTTTAAGAACAAAAATCTGCATTTGTAAACAATCACCAGCACAGAAATATTAGATATTTGATGGCTACACCAAAAGAAATCTCTCAGAGGCTAAACCAGCAGAATAACAGAAGTTCCTTCACCCCCTGACCCTCCTGATTCCTCTAATGTAATTTTAGTTAAGATTCAGGCACAAGCTGGTGTACTGCTGTGGGGTAGAAGTAGACCTAATGCTATATTCTGTATTTTATTCATTTGGCTTTATAGGATAGTTTTTTACACGTTTATATATATATTTCATGCTATTATTTTGAAGTATTTTTTTACTTCCTACCCACACCATAATCAAAGAAATTCTCTAAACCTGCTCATGCTGCATAAAAGATAGGGGGTGAGGGCGGTCAGGGGAGAGGCGTCACAGAGCATGTGCAGAAGTGGCACAAGCATCAACAAAAATCTATCTGCGACGTTTTCTCCGATATATGTCAATTAAAAAATGTACTGGTCTCAGTGGAAGGGTGGCTTTCAAGAATCCATTTTTAAGGAAGGGAAACGGGGAGAAAAGTCTGAGCTATTCCAAATTACACAAGGACTGGACTGAAAATCTATGACAACAGCATTTATGCAGTGCTGTTTTTGGTTCAAATTGTCATTAAAATATGTACGTAGGAGGTCACGAGATGGAGCAACAGTTAGTTTCTACAGCTATCTATAGAACACACAGGGGCTCTGTCAGTGTTTGCAGTTGCAGTTCAGCCAGTGGTGTCAGAGATCTTGTCAAACTGATGGAATTATAAATACTTAACAGTTACCATCAGCTTTTGATCCACCATGCAATATCCCGAACACACTGCCAATACACTCAAAGCATGCCTGAATAGAAAAAACACACAGCTGAACACCATCAGTCATGGATTGGCCTCCCCAGAGCCCGGACATCAGCATTACTGAAGCAGGATCATCTTTACAGAGTGCAGAACAAAAGGCAGAAACATCCAAAGAAGAGTTTTGAACGTCCTTCAAGAAGCCCGAAGAACCTTTCCTGCAGATGACTCAAAGAAATAACAAGAAAACTGCCTAAGAGAGTTCAGACTGTGTGGAAGAATAAAAGTGGTCATACCAAATATTGTGCTTTAGAACTGCACAAACTCTGCCGTATGTACTGTATGTCCATTACATATGTTTTAATGAACAACGATAACTATTTCCCATTTTCCTAACAAAAAGAAAGAAATGAGGGTAGCTTAAGACTTTTGCACTGTTTAACATTAACCAGTGCATGATTCCAGACATTACCATTGTCTTCCAGATCCCCTCCCACTTTTGCAGCTGTTGTGCAAAAAGCTACTCTAGTGGCCCCCACTAGTGCTTTAAACAAGCTTCCAACAATCTCAAAACAACATCAGAAACTCATTATAACCCACCACCACCCCTTCTGGAAGGTAATCTAAAATACTGATAGAAAAGAAATGTCAGACTTCTTCAGCTAGCAATTTAACTTGATAGCATTTTATATACATCGTATTCCACCAGACGTTGCCCCTTTTATAATCAGTTCTGATGATCTCAGCCACTTGGATATTATTTCTTCTTACTGTGTACTTCATTAGCCTTTTGAATGCGTTGTTCTACTGCTTTCCCCTTAATAAACCTTACAAGGCTTATTATAATGATTTAGTTTGCACTTTCATGTTTACACCTCAGGACAATTAGACCCGATTACCTAATACATACAGAAGGAAAATAAGGGCCTAGAGAAGAACAAAGAATGGGAAGGTGTGCAACTAATTAATAGTGTTTTTTCACAGTTTTTTTTTTCATCTTTGTCTGTGTGTGTGTGTGTCTGTGTGTCTGTGTGTGTCTGATACTGATGGGTTGCTCTCTTGGATGATTGCTGATTTCTAATTCCCTGCACACCTCACAGATAAGGCAAAATTGGCTGCAGTCTTTGGACACCTGATACTTGCTTGTATTTGGAACTATCCAAATTACTGAGATAATTTTCTCCCTAGGTTGGGCCAACGGTACACCTGCCTTCATGATAATATTATGTGATTAGTCTTTGTCACCGTCATTTTACTTTTTGCTCAGTTGGAGGCTTTTTTTTCTGGCACACAGAGAATCTGTGAAACTGTACCGCGGAACCAAAGACGAGTCGTTTCTGTCCAGTTAGAAAAAAATGTGCATGAGAGTAACTGATTTTCCAGCGAAAATTAAATAAGACCTTTTAAAAATCAGCATGTTGTTTGACTTTGTGATCAGTGGGATCTTCACCTAGAACGGAAAAGACGATGGTTTCTAGCCAAGCACAAAATAAGGGTTTTAAGAAGTGAAAATAAGCCTCAGCTGGAGTCGAGTGAATTAATAATTTATTTAGCGACACCCCCAGAAGGCCCTCTGAATTCAACGTTTTCTGCTGGATTTGTTTCCGTCTAAACAGAACGCAGCACGAAAGCTTGAGGTTGAAGCTGTGGATGTTCAAACTGCAGGAGCTGGAAGACAAATATCAGATCCCATATCCACTTTTAGCGTCCTGAGAGATGGCTTTATGTTGTTGTGTTACTGGATTCAGAGAGCATTACTTTTAATGTTTGTGTTTTACCATTTGGGAGCACTATACTTCACGCTTTATCTCCACCGCAGTTCACTGGGAAATATTGTATCGTTTCACAGCGCATTTATTTGACTGCTATAGTTCCGTGCTGCTTTAAAAAAAATGAGAATTTAGGTACAAAAGATAAGCTCAAATCAATTTTTAATCAAAGCTTGCGTTATAAAGAAAGACACCAATTTAGAGGACAGGATAAGGCTAATAAAAAGCACGCTGAATGGTTTTTGGAGTTTGTCTAAAAGTCACGATAGCCTGGCCTCTGCTTCTTCAATTCTTTTTAAATCAGTCTCTTGTGAGGCCTCTACTTGAAGGAAAGTGGCATATTAAATTACACAGAGTACCTTTCAATCTTTACAAAGGGGCATTCAGCCCACTAAGGTTCATATATGTATTTTTTACAAAGCCTTTATCCATCCTTGGGATAAATGTCTGACTGAATCTCATCAAAGACATTACCCACATATAAAGCAATTCTCTTTCCGCCCATCACTTTGTAGCTGACAGTTTAACTGTAGTGGACATTATCTGTGCTCTGGTTGTCTGTATAACCCTCTTGGATATTTTAAACCCTGTATGTCAGTAAGCATCCTCCAGCTCCTCTGGTAGTCCCTTCAATCAGCGGCCTCAAAGATAAGGTTAGTTTAACTCTGCACCCACCCACTTTGAGTCATGAGTAGTTATTTTATCTGTCCTTGCCACATAATGGAGAGTTTGATGGTCCATGGTTTCTGATCGCTGCTAGTCCCTTCATGTGAGGTCACAGTGGCTTTAAATACAAGCCACACTTCCTCACAGAATAATCAGGCCCATCTTATCTTAAAGACCTCATAGTATTGTATCACCTCGGCACTTCGCTCTCATACTGGAATCAGTCGTGCAAATAGAGCCAGATTTGCCCTTCAAGGTCAACTTCCCGTGCATCTCCAAACCACTTTCAGGATGGCTGCTACGGTCAGATCAGCATCAAATTTTAATCAGTTGGGATTTTTGATTACAATGGGCTAATATCCGGAATCCCAGCACGTTTGTTGTGTTTGATCACTATGAGTACTTTTAGGGTAAAAATTGCATCATCATTATCAATCATGGTCCAATTAAATACATTGCTTTTATTGATTTTATTTTAAATATATATGGGTTAAAACGAGTTTATATCCAGCTGGCAGAGTTTAGTTATCTTTCTCAGTAATGGTGATTATTTAAACAGAAATTATACACATAAGCACTCTCTGTAATAAATCTAATGCAAACATAGTGTAAGTGTTGTGTACTATAGTCTTTTTTAAAATCACTGTTACCTAAGTGTACACATATATCATAGTGTCTTGCGCTGCCCACTCATCACAGCTCTGGAATCTGTCCTTTTTTCCACATGAACGCGCCCTGTGCCCAGCATAAGGAGTTTTACGTCAGCAGCTAGAACACCTGTGACTAATCATGTCTTTCACTGCACTCTCCCCTTTTCTCTTTTAATGTTAAACAGTGCCCAAAATACACCCACACAGCACCAGCACTTAGATGCTCTGTGCTGAGAAAAATGACTATTATTCATGCTGTACTTTACCACTGTGCACAACAAAGCAACGCAATACAGAAGGCAGGAACATTCGGCTGCTGGCGATTTGCAATTATAATTTGAAAGGATAAAAAAAACACTTTTGATTGCAAACAGCCAGCTTAACTTTTGCCTCATTTTCAAAATAGTTTTTCACTCATTTTCTGCATTCAATGTTTCCAACAATGA